ATTTCAGCTGGACATAAAAGCACACTGGCATTTGGCAATGAAAACAAATCTATTAAGAATGCCAATGGTCTGATACAAGATCTAGAGCTAGGGTGGGAACTGGACAGTTCTCCAGGTAGTGTTGGACTGCAGCTTCCAGCAGCCCATCCCAACATGGCCAATGGTGAGAAGTGCTGAGGGTTGCAAGCCAGCAATGTCTGTATAATTCTCTATTCCGGACTGAAGGTTGGAGCAGTTTTGTCATATTGCATTGGGTACTGGGTGTGCCATGAATTTCTAACACAGTTCTTAATGGAAAGCTCAGTGCAGTATTGCCCCCCTCCCACCCTCAGTCGGTTACAGAAGAAAGTGGAGGAGGTCTCTCATGTCCTGTTGAGAATACAACCAGGAAAAAGCTCCTGCTTCACTTGGGAAATCCCCGGAGCAGATTTTGGACACAGGATCTGAAGGGAGAGAAAGAATCTTTTTGGTCTTTCAGTCTTTTCAGTAGTGTTTCTTTCATTTATAGACAGACACAATGGATATAATCCTCAGGATTAATAACCAGATAAATGCAGCATGATCTAACAATTTACAAACATTCAGTGTTGCTAAATGAACTGGTAATTCAGGAACATAACATTAACAGAAGCTATTAATTTGTTTTGTTTAGAACAAATTTGATCTGTTTATAAATGGATTCTTATTATATCCTTCTTTAGCTGGCTTCATTTTATTTCATCAAAATGAAATTTACACAAAGCTAATGCAGAAAACAAGACTCCAGAGAGAAAAATATATCTCTGGATAGAACTACAGTTGTATAATTGGAATTATCAATAAGCCCAGATTTGTATAAGCGGAGTTCATACTGTGTAGCATTCATTATACTTCTTTAGTCCAAGCTGACAAAACTCATTCATTAATTAGTACAAGGCTGAGTCTAGTGAAAGATCCAGAATCTTCTGTCTTCAAGGTAGTCAAAAATGAAAAGACGCTATCAGAATTGGACAGGATATTCTGTTGGATGACTGGGAATTGGACTTGATTATGTCAATTATAAACATAACATGCATCAACATGCCCCATTTAAACCCAAACAAAGCTAGGAAATTAAATTTGAAGCTGAAAAATAGACACTCCATGTAACCTCTTCTTGTAGCTTGAAGTTCAGTTGCTGTACTGAGCATGCAAGTCTTCAATAATTCTAAAGTTAGGGGGGATGCAGACCAGGGCGTCAGAGACGCCCTGGTCCGGAGCGCCGCCGGAGTTCAGCCTCCGGACCGCGGCGCTCCTGCGGCGCATCTAAAAGGAGCACCAAATTGGCGCTCATTTTAGATTTAAGGGAAAGTGCGGCCCAAAAGCGGCGGGCGCACTTTCCCTGGCTCAAACGGTGCAGCGCATGTGGGCGCTGCGCCATGAGGTCATCCCCGGTGCGCCGGCCGTGCGGACGGCCGGCGCTTCTGGGGACGACCTCGGGGAGAGGAAGGGGCGCCGCTCGTGCGGCTGCCCCTCCTCTTCCCTGCCCAGAAGACGACTTTTTTAGTCGTCTGCTTAGGGCCTTAGTCTTCTAATTTAGGGTAAGGATTGGTGTATAATGCTGGAAATTTATGATTCCTCATTGGGATGCTTCTAATTTGAACTGTTTTAGGTATGTTTTACTGTATAACTAGCAAGTCAGGAACATACAGAAAAATTTTAGTGTGAGCAGGAAACATATTAATATTAATAATAATAATAATAATAATAATAA